ATTTTTGATCTTGACCAATGACTTCATGAATATTTTTGCTTCTTTATTAGTCTACATCGACAAATACTAACATGTGGTATGCACAATCAGCATTTAACAGTAAAAATTAATGGCATTAGGTCAAAGTTAATGGTTTGATCATTTTCGCACCTACTCATGTAATGTTATCGGTATTTATGCCCTTTTCCTAACTTTAAGATACTGGGTGCTCCTGGCTACCTACTTTATAGGTAGTTTTACCCCTTTACCCTTTATTCAATTACTAGACATTACACTCTTGATTTTGAGACACCTAATCAACAATATACATGTTATGACAAGGAGACCTCAAATATCTAGCTCTTTCAATGTGATTCGATTACTTTATAATATGGCCATTAATGAGGTCAAAGAATGTTTGATAGGTATGTCATAACCTATTATTTCTAGACTACTAATTGTATGTAAATGAATAAATAACAAGTACTAACATTTCTGTTTAAATTTCCTATTACTACTATCAATGCAAAGGAGATTAACTCACCAGTAATTTGTACTGTAACATCTTAAATTTCAATCCAAGAAAACTAGTTGCTAATCAGGGTAAATTAAAAATTAGTAGATTGATCATGGTTAGGATGTTGAGTTCATATTTTGTGTGGATTGGCTATTATATTGATATCATTGAAGGGTAAAACGGCGTTCCGAAGCATTACGTGAGAGCACAAGTGAGATTAAACTTACTGTGCCAAGTGTTGCAGCGGAAGCTGCATGCACCGTGGTGCATTATGCAAAAATTACTTAAAGGCTAAGTCAAAACTCATGAAAACAGAAAGAGAAAGGGGGAAAAAACACAACTAGAGAGGAGAAGGGGTTCATGTGAATTAGTTATGTATCGCGTAGCCCTACACTTCATTTCTATCCCATTTTCATTGAATTTTGTCAGTTAAGAAATCGAACCAGGAAGTTTTAAGGTGTTATAATCTAAAAGAAATGTTTTAAAATGAGATATCGAATATGAAACTAAGGTTTTGTAACTAGTCTGGAGTTAAATGGTTAAGTTTTGAGAACTTAGACTCAAATGGCCTAAATAATTAGGTTGAAGTGGTGAAATTGGGTGAATAAATGTATTAGGAGGTTGTTTTGGTCATTTAAATAGTCTATAGGGTCAATGATTATAAATAGTAGACTTGTGAATTCAAAAGGCGTAAATTGGACCATTTTGTGTGTTAAGGATTTGATTTAGCCAAATCAATACTTATGCTCAGTGTTGGAAACTGACTGAAGGACACTGCATTGTGTAGATTGAGCACCTGTGATGTTACTCGTAAGAATCTATGCCTCTGGGAGCTTAATGTGATTGGTAACCTTTCATAATAAGGTTAAAAGTTAACTAGAGTACCTTTTTACTTGTTCGTTTGTGAAATTATTTACAAGTATTTTTGTATAACTATGTGCATTGTGTTATAAACTGATAGAATAGCAGTATTATGAAAGTATATGTATGCGAGTATGTAAGTAATGTGTGAAATGAATTTGATGTGACATATGCATAGACATACACATCACACCCACAAGAGTACCCTGGACTATAGTAGAGGGACGCAGCCCTACTCTGAGTAAGTCTAGAAAGTCCTGATGATCCAAAGCATAAAACTTAACTCCACCACAATGAACCTGGAGATCCCAATGATTTAGAGCATAGAACTTAACTCTATCATGATGGACCTAAGATATGGAATGATCCACAAGTATACACTAGACTAGGGGAGGGAGTCGTGGTCCTACTTTGTGTAAGGCTAGGAAGTGACTAATAATATATGGTTTCATTTGGAGATGCTTAAGTGACAAATTTTGACTTAAAAATGATCAAAATGCACTTGAGTATCAAACTTTTAAAGGGGAAATTGAATTTGAATGAGACCAATGTCATTGGTTAAATTTTAAAACAAGCTTATTGTGGGCATTTGAATTACTCCAATCGGACATTAGATGCAAAAGTGGCACACGTCCACAGTTCATATCAGATTTTGCAATTTGACAGCAAATTTTAGTATGTGTACTACATCGCATGTGTCAACGCGTGACAACATGCTGTGATGCATAGTACAAAGTATGATACTGATGTCTTTATGCCACATGCTATGACACATGTGGCATGAGCCTAGGCGCACGGCTCAAAATTTGTGAAAAAATTCAGTATTTCGTATGAGTTTCTTTTGCAATTCACTTATTCCCTATTGTCTGCTTCTACTATATGTTGTTTAATGCTACTTAAATGGTTTCATAAAGAGATTTTTAAAAGTTAATTTTGAGATCTCACACTTTCAACAATACTTTAAATTGACTAGTGGATTGCGAGGAAGTTTGAATAGTAATGTCAATGAAGGCATTATAACAACTGCATTAGAAATTTCTAAAACATAAATCATAACATAGTAAATATGAAAGTAATTTCATATATTCAAAGCGTGTTTCACAAAACTCTGCACTTAATCAAACAAGCAATGCACATAAATTAGGTTTTGTTTAGTTACCTTAAACCTTTAAAAGGCTAAAGATTATCCCTCAATCAAAACTTGTTTCCAAAAGCTATATCCAAGTTCAATTTGTGCACAATGTGGTTGATTTACAATTAACAACACTAACAATCATTGATACCATCATTAACACACTTCCAACTTTCAATTTCAACACTTTAACATCCAAAACTCTTAAGTTCTTGCATTTACTTACACCCATTAGGTGCATTAAACTCTATTAGTTCCAACTAACTTTATTATACTCAATGGACACCATTAATGGCTCCCAACTACCTCAAACATCACATTTATTACACTTTAACATCCCAAATTTGTCCATTAATTAGAGCCCAAGCTGAAGGACACTCACAACCTTCAATCCTAGGTTTAAATAGCTAAATAACTCCAACTAACTCTATTCAAGTTAATGAGTTTAGATCTAAAGCTCTAAGGTCTAAAAATCAATCTCCCAACTATAAACCTTAACATAATAATGGAGTAAGAGGAGGGGAGAGGTAAATGGAGACTTACCTAAGTGTAGACAAGCTTGAATCACCCCGAAGAGCTCAAAAAATCAAACCCTAATAAAGCAAAATCCATGCTCTTCATCGCGCGCTCCTCTCTCTCTCTCTCTCTCTGTGTGCTCACTCCTTTCTCTCTGTTTTATGTGTTTTTCAACTCTTTAAAACATTGTTTTTTGATGCTCGTCCATCCATGATCAAGACCACTTATCCGATATGCTCCCTTTATCTACAACCACGCCCAACTATCTTTAATGAAGGACACACCACAAATGGTTGTAACTAGAGAGTACACCCCACTTTCCAATTAGGCTCAATCATGACCACCCATTATGTCACAATCTTAAAAGGGCTTGGATAGAAGACCTATTGCTCCATCAAACGCAATCTTAACCCAAAATTTTCTCCACATTACTCTAATTAATTCTTTCTTTTGTTTAATACTTTTAATTAAAAATTTTAGGATGTTACAAAAGGTAAAGAAAACATGAACTCAAAGGGAAAATTATTGCAGGAAAAGGCAACCTTAAATTTGGGTCATCAAAATAGTGGCAATAAGTCATTCTCAAAAAGAAGGGCCTAAAGGGTCCATGTTGATAATGGAACAGTAGATCAAGTGGGCCTTGTAAAGCCTAATACAAGAAACCATCATACAAAGGAGCTAGGGTTGCAGAGACAACCTATAGAGCTTCATTTGAAAGGAAATGAACATGTCCGAACCCTTCAACTCTTTATTTATTTATTTATTATTATTATTATTATTATTTGTATGAACAAGTGATGTTCAAATATTTATAAATTATTATTAGGATATGAATAACAATCTATTAATGATTAACCAAAATCCATGAAAATACTTGTAAAATAAATTTAAACATATATATTTAATATTTATAACCTATCAATGTAGAAGGAACAAGTTAAAAAAATTAAACAATGAGTTTTAAAAATTAACAATTTTTTATATGAACAAGTCATATTTGAATATTTACAAGTAATTATTTAAATATAAATAATAACATATCTATAATTAACCAAAGCTCGTGAAAATACTTAAAGAAAAAAAAAATTATAGCGTATATATTTTTTATTTAGCATAATATTAATAACCTATCAACATTAAAAGAACAAGTTGTTAAAAAATTGAACAAGTTGAGTTTTAAAAAGTAATGTCTTTTTTATGTATAAACAAGTTACATTCTAATATATATAAATAACTGTTTAGATATGAACAACACATTCGTGACTAACAGTCACATAAATGCTTAAAAACAAATTATAATATATATATATATATATATATATTATTATATTTTGCTGCATATAATTAAATATATTGAGTGGTTCAATGACAACAATCCTTTTGAATATCTAAAGGTGTTAAGGAATGAAACCTTTCCTTAACCGTTTAAATTAACCAACCATTGACCTGTTGTTAATGTCAGAGCTCTAGCAACTAGTGACAGAAATCCAACCACAGGCACAATGGTCTGTCAATTAGTGCCAACGATAATGGGGGGTGTTGTATGCTATGTGTGTAAACTAAGACTATTTTAGTAATTAGACCAACAAATTAATTATATTTGAGACCCTTGATTGCAGAAGTGTTTCAAAATTTTGAGCCTTTTATGTGATAATTTCATTCTAAAAAAGCCCTAATTGAAATTCTCTCTTACATGTTGAAACATGATATTACTGTGATAATTAAACAATACTAGAACCCTCCCTTCATTCAAAAAAAGTTTTAATTTTGCAATGAATAATTAATAAGTTTCTTTACACAAAAAACAAAAAACAAAAGACACTTGATGAATAAACCACTAAACCTTTTATCTTTAAATAAGGCAAACTATTAAATAAGAATGAATATGAAAATATGATATTAATTTAAAGATAATTAACTAGATTATTGAGGAAGGTAATTTAATTAAAAATACCTTATATTTGTAATGGAGAGAATATTTGACACCATGATCCATAGTATTAGGCAATGAAATACAACCCACTGAAGTATAATCAATGTCATATCAAAGGATCGCTATGGTCCCTTGGGGTGCCAAAAGTCTAAATATCTAAGGCATAATATCCTGTTGCAAGCAGGCCACTACCTAAGAATCTCAACTTGCATGCCTTCTTCGAAATTACAACGATACAAAGAAAGTGAAACTCATCGAACCATGATGCTTGCTCCCCTACCTAAGAATACGGAATGAAAGTAGTTGCATGTTTAGGAAACCTAACACTTTACACGAAACAGAGTTACCTTGTCAGCAATCAACTTGATCTCATCCAACCTCTCCTGTACCAACTTCTGGAGTTGCGCTTGCTGATTTCTCTGATTCTCATCATCCATCTGCACAGCACTAGATTCGTTTGCCTCTGATCTGAACATGACAAAAGACATCTCTGGATCGTATTCGCTTGGTACTTCAACAAGTTGCTTCCCAGAAGTCCCTGGATCTTTCCCCAGGATATCATACTTGACACGGCTTGAAACAATGCTCGAGAAGTCTTCCGTGTGTTTGTCGAGGCCAAGATAGATTAACACCTCCCAACACTGGAGAAATTGCTTCTTGTTAATCTTCAGGCTTCTCCTAACATCCTCAATAGCACTTGGGGATGGTAAGAGTCGAAGAGAGTGCACTTTCTTTGATAATCTTCCTTGCTTTAGAAATGAAACAGCGGAAGAAACTGTATGCTGGATTGGGTCAAAATGAAGCAAGCGAATCGTGTCGACACAAGTGCGAACATGTTGGAAGTGATCTAATGGCTCTTCTACAGTTAAATCAAAAACATTTTCAGATATAGCAACATTATTTAGCGCCTCGAGAAGGGACCGACCATAACCCTTGTGCTGGTAAGGAGGCAATACAAGTATCTGCCATCAAAAGCTCTTGTCAGAAGACAGAGGAACAATTTGAGAGCACTCGAGAATTATGAGAGGCTGACATGCATAACTGATAGTACAGAGGATATATCAAACCTGACTTAGACGCAATCGATAACCATCAGGGTAGTGGAAAAATCGATAAACAGCAGTGAAACCAATAAGCCTACATTGGGTCTCTCCTTGCTGATCACTTTTCCTCTGAATCAGGAGATACAGCTCCCATCTGGGATCAGTGACGTCGATAGGACTACTACCTGTGAATAATATTAAAAAAGATTCTGGGCTACAATAGCGATTTAAGGTAGCATAAATTACCAAAAAGCAAAGCTCTGAACACCAAAATAAGTAATCAATACCATCAACAAGAAGGAGAACAAGGGGTATTAGGCGACTGTAAAGGTGCCCAGTAGCCATGTTGCCTGCAACCATACGGACAACCTGGCTCAAAAAGATCCCCAAAAAAGAAAAAAATCAGAATATACCCTTTGTATATGGATGTGCAAATATAGGATATTTAATAAAAATGAAGCTGAAAGAAACAAATTGAAAACGTTACTTGGGAATTTTTACAGTACAAACTTAGACAAGAGTTGCTATTTCTTGGGCCCAGTCTTGGCATGTCAAAAGGATTAAGTGGCACTTGGCCCCATAAAATTCCCATGATAAGCATGGTTTTCAGAAGCAATATTAAGGTATGGCAACAACATCAAAACACAAACACGTGCAGGGGACAGCTGGTGAATGACAATGAAAAAAAGAAAACATGCAAGCATTCCCCCACACACACACGGAAGGGGGGAGGAATGGGTAATATGCTGTGACACCTAAAAGACTTCTCCACATATAGAAACAACACCAGTCAATAATAAGCAGCTAGTTTACTGGAAACACAGCAGAATGTGAACAACTGATTACCTGCCGGCCTAAGCCAAAACTTAGAAGCAAAGCTTATAAAAGAGTTACATTGTTACTCTATTTCCAATGTCCCCACTAACTAAATTACAAGATGGCTCAGAAAATACTGGTATTGAGATACTAAAGTAGATTTTTCATAACAGAAGTTACAGCTTGGCATGTAAGCAATTGAACACTGGGAGAATTTCAACTAGGACCAAGGAATAGAAATATTTACCAGTGAGTCTCAAAAAAAAAATCTGAAAATTCTCTGTAGATTGTTTGGACTGAATTGAAATAAAGTTGTTGGCTGAAAAGACCGAAATGCCCTTATGCAAAAGAAAGAAAACAAGTAGCCGATCAAAAAACTTATTAATCATGTAACTTTACTTGTTAACTACAAAAGACTTGTTAACCACTTAATTTTACTTGCTAATCCATGACTCCCTAAACTTAATTACATTACTTGTTAATTCCGCAACAAAAATCGTTAATTTCATAACTTGACTTGTTCGCACAGTGTTAACCCTTGTTTAATCCATTGATCCAAAAAGCAACTAAATTATTTATTAATTACGTAATTTTACTTGTTAATTCTTCACTAGCACTAGTTAATTGCCTATCACCACTTGTTAAATGACACTTGATATCTTCTTCAATATCAAACCTATAAAAAATCCATTACTTGTGAAATTATTGTCTTAAATTGTAAACTACATAATATTACTTGTTAATCAAATAACATTAATTAATAATGCCTAATAGGAATTAACAAGTAAAGTTAAATAGTTAATAACTACTTTTGTGTAGTTAACGAGCAAAGTTACCTAATTAGTAAGGCTTTTGATCAGCTGCCTTTTTTCTTTGTTTTGTATAAGGGCATTTCAGTCTTTTCAACCAAAAAATTTATTTCAGTTCAGTCCAAAAAAGAAACTTGCAGAGAACTTTCAGATTTTTTTGAGACCCATTAATAAACATTTCTCTACCCTGATCCTTAGTTGAAATTCTCCCTTAAATATTTGCCTATTATCATCTAATGCGTAAAGCAAAAATATAAATTACCACCTCAGAATCCAAAGCAGCCGCTTCAGCATCACTATTAGAATAACTAACATGCCCATTTAAAGCTTTGTGCTTTAAAACCTCCGCATTTGAGATGGTTGTCCTGCAAAACAATATAAATTCAGCGAATGTACAGCCAAGGAAGACAAAAGCCAATTAGTTATTAAAAAATGGAAGTGAAAAACTGAGAAAGTACAGAACACCTAATAAAATCTTTATCCACCAAAAATGTTTGCAGAAATTCATCTTTGCTCTCAACAAGAGTCTCAGCAAAAATTCTCTGTCAGAAATAGCAACATGATCAATGGTAAAAAAAAAAAAAAAAACTACTCTGAATAGAGATACAAGGTATTAAAACAATGATGCCAAATTGGAATTTGAAGCATACCTGAAGAGCAGATTTCAGATCTGTGATTCCTTTGCCTCTCTAAAACAATCAAAAAAGCAAATTCAACAGAAGATGTCAAAGACATTAGAAAGAGGAGGAAAAAGAAAATTTAGCAAGGTAAAACAAATTAAATAACAAATTTGAAGAGAATGTGCAAGAGCAGCAAGTAAAAAAGTGAGTGACAAATTGAAAAGAATCTTTGGCCTTTAGTGTGTCCATGCGTTGATACTTTTTAAAAATATTGTTTACATAGTTTATTGTAAAAATCTTGTTAAAAATATTGATTATCAACTTGTTATCTCTCTTTCATAGTTTTATGATTTTATAATAGAAACGACTTCATACTGATACAATTATATAAAAGGATTATTGGTTACCTATTAAAGGACAGTACTGTCAAATTTAACGTCATGGAGAAATTAGCTTTCACATGATCCATAATATAGCTTCTCCAAGTTGCAGATTGCACTATTACATCAACCAATATATGTCTATAATGACTCAATTCGGACTTCCATGAATTACATAATACTAACACACATGTCAGATACAAGTCCTTTTTAAGGGAATCAGTTGACAACCTGCTTAAGGCAATAAGCAAACACCATGACCTTGATCAAGAAAAGTGTCAGCACTTACATCAGATGAACTCTGGAACTTAATGTCAGCATAGGCATGAAAAGACAGGCTGCTAACCCAGACAGTAATCTGTAAGAAGAACAAAACAGAGATTTTCTTTAAAAAAGAAAAAAAGGCACTGAAGACCATTCAATTATGATTATGTGTAAATAATTTCTAGCTTGTGTCTATAATGATCATTACCTTCAAATCTTCATAACCATAGATTTTCCCATCATCATCAAAAAAGCCATTCAAGTCCACAGGGTCAATGACAAAGTTCTCTGAAGTGCTAAATTTCTCTTTGCTTGAAACTATACAACAATATCAGATCCCAGAAGAAGATGCAAGTTAAACCAAAGAATTAAACAAGGACAACAATACAAGGGGAGGAGTTAAAAATGGCAATCAAAAGCAAATAATGCCACTTAAGTGAACAGATTAGCTAGGTCAAATCCTTGGTAGACCAAGACTGGGAAAGGTTACTGACAGGAAAAGTAGCAGAAAATAACATCTGCCAGTGAAAGGAAGATAACAAGTGAAAATATGGCCTACAAGCCTCATAAGCAACACGAGCAGAGGAGTATGCAAGATCCAGAAATAACGCTAGATTCATGGGCTAGGCATAAGCCAGAAATAAGCATCTCAAATATTTAACTGAATTCTTTTTAAGTCTGAAGAGCTTTGTAAATGCTATGAAACAGTTCGAGTCGAAACATGTGAGTTTCAGTTAATACATATTCTGTTCGAACTTTTTTCCAGAGAGAGATGCTATCCTTCAATTCTCTTCAATAATGTGAGCAAAGAAGGCAGCTCATGTAAAACCTTCTCAAGTCATCTTGTCATCCTAGTCACTAATCATACTGACAAAAGTAGTCTCAGCACTGCAAGAAGGGATACAATCGGACCAAAAATTAAAATATGTATACCCTCCTCGAAAGAGATTGCGAACGACCACTAATAGCATTTAATATCTAATAGTCTAGTAAAAATGCAATCAACGAGACACATAGTCAGAAGCTACCCAGCAGCATGATAAGGGATAAGAATCACGAATAGTTATTACTAGTAAGAATTTCACCACACCTAAAAAGATTTTTATGCACTCTTTGGCTTCAACTCCAGCATCTGCATAATGCGGAAATGAAAATTTTGTTGTGAGCTTGAAATTTGATCATACAAGCGCAAACAACAAATAAGAAAATGTCGAGCAAGAGTAAAATGTCGTGTAAGAGGAACAAGACCGGCAAAAAAAAAACAAAAAAAGAAAAGAAACAAGAACTCAGTGCCGCGTACACACTTACCAACAGCGGAGAAGCCGACTCGCCGCCTCTTCTTCGTTTCATTGCCGGGATCCGATGTTGACAGCTTCTTCTGCCCCATTCGCTATGACTCAGCTGAAGAGTTAGGGTTCAGAGAGCGGGAAATGAATCACAGGCGGGAAATAGCAGTATAGTGTTAGTGTATGAAATGAAAGAGGAAGCTAGGGCAATATATTACAACCTTTTCAATGCCCTAAAAGAACGGTGTCGTTCATTGAAAAAGTAGTAATGGTGCTGCACACCTCCCCGCTCATTTTGGGTAAATATGGAGAAAGTTATAGACATTCTCGTTGGCCCCCGGCGTATGGTATGGGCATGGAGGAATGAGAAGAGATTTTATTTATTTATTTATTTATTTATTTGGGTAGAAGAAGAGGCTAAAAAGCCCAAAAACAGCAAAAAAGCACCAACCCAAAAAAAAAAAAATCAACAACAACAACAACACTCTATCCAAGGTATCCCCAAGACAATCCGCCACCTGCACTTCATTAATAGCCCTATGCAAAACCTGCAATCCACGATCCAGCCCCAGCTCCAAGATAAATTAGTTAATGCATCAGCATAGCCAAATCCCAGATCCTTTGCAACAATCGTAGGATTATTTTTTTTAATAAACGTAATTCTCTCAAAAAAAATATTAATAATTAATCCAACTCTCCCATTTTAGACGTTAAGATTTTTTATGTTAAATAATATTTTTACCACTTAACTATTCATTTAAAAGTAGATATTTTAAATTTTTATACAGTGTAATTTTCTCGTTTAATTTTTAAAAATGATATATTGATACCTTGTTCTCAAAAAATTAGCTACCATTAGTTAATTGTAAAATTACAGAAAAATGTCTTAAAAATTACAAAACAAGACCTATAAAATGACACATAAATATTCTATAAAAAAATTAATATCAATTACTTCCTCTAAGTTGCATATAAATAAAAGACACGGTTGAAAAACACCCTTTAACTTTTTTTTTTAAATAAAAGGCAAATTATATTGCTATTAAGCAGAAATTACAGACAAACATGTAGGAGAATGCTTAAGCGAATACGAAAGGATCCAATCCAAAAAGGACGGAGACATAGGTCCTCTTGTTAACTCAGATGGCTAATGGGCAAAGTAAATGGATGTGATATCCATTGCTGGGCGCGGATGAAAATCAGAGCATATCTGATGGCTAATTCACCCTAACTTCCTTAATAGCCTGAATCACCAAATTCGGCCCAAACTCTTTCAGATCTTGGGTTGATCCAAATATTCAAATTATTAATTTTTTTCATTTCTTAAATTAATTTAAATTTAATTTTTATTTTAAAATTAATTATTTTTTATAAAAAATATAAAATATATTTTTTCAGATACTTAAACAATTTAAAAGACTCAAAATTTTTTAAAAAACATGTAGGTCTTAGAATTTAAAATTCAATATTAAAATACATTTTAAATATTATTTTGAGATATTTTATAGATTAAAAATAATAAAAATATGACAATATAAATATTTTTAATTTTTTAAAAAATATATAACAATGTATTTAAATATATAGTATCTTAGTATAAAATAGATTAAAACTTAAAGAATTTAACAATATTTTTTATATTTTTTAAAATACATTTTTTTTGTATTTATGAATTTGAGATCAAGCTTGACCCATATTTTTTCACTAAACCCGTTTCTAGATTTTTTTCGAGTTTATACGGACTGCTCACCGAGTTTGATATAAATTGCTAACTCTAATTAAATGTAGTTGTCCTCTGCCAGTGGCCCATCTTTGCCAGCGCTGAAACAATCCTGGAACTAGAAAATGACATTAACTCCATTCAGTCTTCTATTTCGAAAACATGAACTGGTGATTGTCCATTTCAATTACCTTGATGGACAAATTTATTAAATTTTTTTTGTTAACTAAGCAAGCAAAGGGCTGAGAGATTTCTCTTCCATTTTTCTAACAAATTAAGGATTGGAAATTTTGCCTCTTCTCCTCTCCAACAAAACAAACTTGACTATCCATCAAAAAAATATATGATTAAAAATTAATTAATAAAATTGATTTTGAATATAATTAATCATGTTATACAGTATTGAATTAATTTATAAAATTAATTAATAAGATTGATTTCAAGTGAAATTGAAAATAAAGCAAAATCATAATTTTGTGAAAATATATATAAATATCCTTTAACAAGTCAAAATCAATTATAACCCAAATTCATGGTTTTCATAAAAAAGTCCAAACACTCTCATTACTTGCCAAAATAAATTATGAATTAAAAAGCATAGTTTTCTCAAATATAAAAATATAATGTTAAGGGGTATTCGGATATTTTTAAGAAAACTTTAGTTTTAAGTTTATAATTAATTTTAACATGTATAATGATTATTTAATTTTTTAAGAAAATTATAATTTTAAGTTTGTAATTAATTTTGGTGTAGTAAAAGTGTTTTCATATATATTTTACAAAATCATGATTTTTGTCTTTATAATTGATTAATGTTATTATCCAAACATTAAATTTAAAGTTAGTTTTCTTAATTTGAAAAGGAGGGTTTTTCTCAATTTTTTATCAGTTCAACTTTAATAGTCAATCTACTTTATTATTTAAACTAGATTTATTCTTGAAAAAATATTAAATAAATAATAAACCGAATAAATGAGCTGAGTTAAAGTCTTATCAGATTTGGCTGTAGCAGAATTTACCTGACTATCCATACTAGTTTAGACTATTAGAGCCTATATTGCACCAAAGAGAAAAAGATAGAGAGAGGAAGAACAAACTAGGAAACTATTCGCTCTGGGAGTGAGTTATATCTCTAGCCACCCCATCTCTATTATAGCGAAAGGAGGGCCACCTCTGAAAAATAAAATCTAATCAATATTAATTTACCTCATATGGAGGAAATAAATTGATTTGAATGGTCACCATTATTGCAAAGGAATATTTCTCTTTTAAGAATTCAATCAAAAATTATTCTCACATCAATTCTTGATTTTGATAAATACATTATTACCAAAATAATGATGGATCCACTAATTGCTCCTATATAATTGATTTTATTCCCTTTGAGGATGGATATGTAATTCTAATATCTCTTACTCACACTTAATGGGACTACCTTATCCTATCTTTCTAACTTCATACTTGATGTGCTACTATCACCATGTAGGCATGACATCCTCAATTTGGATGTTTCTACATTAGAAATTCTATAATAGGATCAACACACAAAGACATCATGTTGTATACCTATATTACAATTATAAGTTGACTCAAGTACTCAAGATTTACTCATATACATTACTCATGGCATATCTAATCCCTCTCGAGTTAATTATTTAACTCAGATTGCTTTTTCATATGCATGGGTGGTGCTACCTTGAACCCAAGGGGGGTAAATGCACCCCTTGGTTTGGAGAAAATTACAATTAAAATCCATGTATTTCAATATATATTGCACCCCTTGATTTAAATATTTTGCACCCCTTAATTCAACTTTATAGATTTTAGGTTTAAAATTTTTAATTATTTTTAAATTATTAATTTTAAAAATCTTACACCCCATAACTTAGGGTCCTGGCATTGCCATTGTTCATATGCTTAGTACCTGCACTTATAAATTCTCAAATTGTAGGGACATGTCTTAGACATTGGTATTATTGTGTGTTTTAGGGTTAATTTTCCTTGACATCATTTACCAAGTCTAACTCAGTTGTATTACTAGTACTTAACTCATTAGATCAAATAATTCATAATCATAGGGTACAAGCTAAAGTAGCTATCACTAAAGCAGCCTTTTATGACATTGTGTAAGTCTTAAGAACACTATGAAAGGATTTTCTCATTTCTAGAATGCACACAGTGATGGAACAAGAATCCTTCCATTAACATCCATTATTATAGTCAAATAAGCACATGCAATATGAATTATATGCTACGGTGTTTCTCTCTTAAGAGTGTTTGTCAATTTTTCATTTATCAACACCATTCAAGCTTGAGTCTTAAAGACACACAATACCAAAACCAGAATTCCACTAATCACTCATGATGTCCTTATTTAAGGAACTCTTTGCTTGACTATATGTATCATGGATCATGAGTATCCATGACTCAATCTAGATGTTAGGTTCTATATCTGATCTTGATATCAAAATTCAAGGTAACATTCATTATGTGACTCTTCTCAACCATTCAATTATTCTTTCTAAATGGATAGTGATCACATTATGTCTTATCTTCTTTGTTCCTCATGAAAATTGAAGGCCAATGTTCGTATGAGAGAGCCAATCATTCAAACATGTACAACACACTTGAATATTGTATATCATTGTACTCATGTTATTAAGAAATGCATAACAAGATGAGTTCAGTATATCATACTTTAAGCAAACCCAAAACGTTCACATGTTCTATATATGGATTATTGGCTATGGGTTTGGTAAGGGAATCATCTTATAAGTAGATATGCATTGAATAGTAACTTGTTCATTAGCAAATATCTCTCTAACCAAGAGATATTTGATGTTTATGTATTTAGTCCTAGCGTGATACTTAGGATCCTTAGCATAAGCTATGGCAGTTTGACTATCATAGTGTATTAGGATTAGACCTTTTTTTATGGTTTATTCCCAATCATTCTGGGAATCTCTTGAGCCATATAACTTCTTATACAATGGCAGAGCACACTATGTACTTTGATTCTATGAAGGACAAAGACACATATTTCTATTTCTTGTTGCTCCAGGAGATGGCTCTATTCAACAAGAATATACATCCTGAAGTTGAATGTCCATATCTCTTATCTAGCTAGTATTTGTGTAACCTTTCCAAATGCAAACTATAGCTTTAGAAAAATAGCTCATAGTCCATAGGCCTTTTCAAGTATCTCATTATTCTTTTCATATCTTCCTAATGCTTGACTTCTAGGTAAGACTGAAAACAGCTCACAAGTTTGACTACATAACAAATATTTAGTTAAGTACACAACATAGGTGCATCAGATTGCTAACTTAAGTTATGACCTTTCACTACAGGGTGATAGAAGACATTTATTACACACTTTTATTTGTTAATTAGGACTATTTTATTAATGTTTTATCATCTCAAAGTGAACACATTGCATTAGAATTGAAAAATCACCAATGTGTCTAGGTTTTATGTATTAGGAGTATTTTGGTTTAAAAATAAACTTTTGAAAAAATGTACAAGAAAAACTGACAAAGTGAATTTTATATCCAGAAGATGAGTGATCAAATTAAATTTTTAAATTTATTTTAGTTTGGAAGTAATTAAACAAAAAATTAATAC